CTGGGCTACCAGCACCCCTCTCTTCTTGACAAGGGGTTCAAAACATCAGCTCCGGTGCAGAGTTCCTTGGGCAGAAATATGCTCTATCTACTCGCCGCGACGCACCAGTGGCGACTACATGGCCTGGACTTAGCGACGGCATTCTTGCAGACAATGCCTACTGAGGCCGACAGCAAGATATGGACAACAGGTGTCCAGGAACTTCACGATGCACTCCAGATCCCACGAGACTCTGTCTTGCGTATTCTTCGCAACATCTACGGGTCAACAACGGCCCCAAGGGGTCTCTGGCTTGATCTGCATCGTACCTTAACCTCCTTGGATGGCCGTGCTGCACTTGGCGAACGTTGCCTATGGCTTTGGTTCAGCAAGCACGAGAAAGACATCACGGGCAAGTTTCCTCGGCTCATAGGAGCCATGGGTGGTCATGTGGACGACTTCCACAGGATCGGTGATGACACATCCTTGGAGTGGCAACAGATTTGCCAGAAGATAGATGCCTCCTACAAGTGGGGAACTATGAAACGCGACAGCTATCGTCATGCTGGAAGTGACATCAACACCATTGAGACCAAGAATGGCTTCAAGCTGCGCATCGATCAAGATGCCTATGTTGAATCACTGCCGGATGTCAACATTGATCCAGTTCGTCTTCGCAGCAATGGTCCTTTGACCCCTTCTGAGGTGGCTGCCTGTCGTACCTCTCTTGGTGGACTTCAATGGCTAGCCATCCAATCTCAACCTCAACTCTGCTCCAGGTGCAACATTCTTTTGACTGAGATTGTAACAGCAGGCACACTGGAACATGCGAGGGAGATCCAACAAATGATTGGCGAAGTGCGCCGTGAACCTCAACACCTTGAGTTTTTCAAGCTGCCAACTGTGGAGCGATGGAATCAAATGGTTTTCATCACTATGGGAGATCAAGCCCACAACAATCGCCCAAAAGGCGATAGCACTGGTGGACTTGTTACACTTGCTGCTGGACCTGAAGCTGTCTCAGGGTGTGTGTGTCCCATGATGCTCCTGACCTGGCGAAGCTGGAAACTGAAGCGAAAGGCCATTGCCTCCAACGACGCAGAGGTGCAAGCTGTTTTGGAAGGTGAGGACCAGAATTACCGGGTCCGACTTCTGTGGACTGAAATGCATGGCGCTTGTTATGGACGTCATGGACAGCGTGATGACTTGGTTGAAGCCACCGAAAACCAGGTGAGATGTATCAAGGGCATCATTTGCACGGATAGCCGTGGTGGATATGATGCGGTGGAGGTGAACGAATCCCCTCTCCTTGGTCTTTCAAATCTCCGAGCTGCCCTTCAAGCATTTCAGCTTCGAGACAACTTGCAGCGAGTTGGAAGTGAACTTCGCTGGCTGGCATCTGACTATGATTTAGCAGACTCAATGACCAAGAAGCGCAACGACAGCCGAGATGGCTTGATGAAGTTTTTGCGTCATTGGCATTGGAGTATTGCTTTTGATCCTTCTTTCACTGCTGCCAAAAAGAACAAGCGTGCCGGACTGACTGCTGTAAAGAAAGTTGATGACGCTTTGCATGGTCTCTTTGCGCGAGCCTTGCAGAATGATGACACAGTCAATGCCGCTTTGATTGAGCAGCTGCTGATTTCAACTGAGAGCGTCAGTGAGAGTGATAGTTTTGAAACCTGGCAGGATGTGATCTATGAGCAATCGAAGTATTGCTCAACCTTCTTTTGTGCTGGTGCAACATGTCCAGCTCCTGACCTGCCAGGTACCTTCCTTTGCCAATCAGCATTGCCAATCTGAAACTTGGATGACTCCGTGATGCTTGGCTCATATGACCATACGGGTCTGTAGGGGCCCCTTTGAGCACTTGATGGTGCGATTGTACGCACACCCGCTGTGCATGGAAAACATTTGCTGAGCCTTGCGCTCGCTTCATTTGCTGTGCTGTTTGATTGGTGGGGCTGTGGAAACCCCATTTGGTTGAGAGCTCAATCTGCTACCAGTGTGCACCCGCTACAGATTCCCATAAATCCGCCCACACCGCTTTGGCGGTGAAGGCGTGCTTATTGGGGGGCAACAGCAACACTAAATGCTCAATGACATTTGTTAATATAGCAGTCGCTATATCAGCTTTAGCTGGGGGGGGGGGCAAAAACGGTTTCGCACCGAGACCAGACCCCAAAAACGGTTTCGCACCGAGACCAGAATACGGTGGTGTTTTCGACATTTTTCGAGGATTTTTGGGTGTCTGAGCGCAAGAGGGTATTGAAATGGAATTTTGGGTCATTTTGGTAGCTTTCCGGCAATGGAAAAACGGCCAAAAATGAAAAAAACATTGTACATAGCAAGATTTTGCAGGGTTTTTGGATGCCAGAGCATTGAAAACACTGCAAAAACAAGTGTTTTGGACTGACGTTATAGCAAAAAACGTGTAAATTACCGTATGCTTGACTGGAAACATTACAAAAACACTGTCAAAAGCAATGTTTTGGAAGGATTTACTGCCTTTATGGCAAAAAACGTGTAAATTACCGTCTGTTTGACTGGAAACATTGGAAAAACACTGTCAAAAACAATGTTTTGGAAGGATTTCTTATTGAAACTTCTTAGCTTGAAGAGCCCCCACGGGGGAAAACCACCCTTAGCCCCTCTCACGGACCGAAATAAACCTGCGGTGTGGGCGGCCACCCCATGCGAAGCGGGGTGAATAGAATAATAATGATAATGATAACGATCATTTATCCACTTATCAGTCATATCCACTTGTATCCTCATATTGTTGATGGTCAAAAGCCTACACATATTGGTCAAATCAAAATGATAAATCAACAGGGGTGATTAAGCACGTACCAAATGGAGTACAACTAAGGACGATGGTTACAAACCACTTTCTAATCATGGGTTATTCACCAGTTAGATATGGCTTATGAACCACTTACCAAATGGCTACGGGTCAAGTCAGTGGATAGCCCCATGTTTTAAGATGCTTCATATTAAAGTAGACAAAGTGACTAAGCCATCTGTGGTTGTTCAGGTCTTTAATACATGCTTAATAACCCATGTTAGATGATGTTGGATGAGTGTTGATCAAAATAAAGGTATCTGGGGCAGCTACAATCGCCGATCAACCGCGAATCAACAGCGATCCCAACGGTGTCAATCGCGGGAAGGTTCTGTCGTATGCGACACTATTTTGCGCAGAGAATCGTCAAAACATTGCTACCTAGATGTTCCTGAGGGTCTCTTTTTTTGCCCCTTAGCCCAGATCTGCCTTTTTATCTAAGAGGCGTTTTTTGACTTTTGGAGCGTTCTATCATTACAGAAGAGGGTTGGTAAGTTTCGGGAAGTGGAGTAGCGGTTGTGTTTCCCTATAATGAAGGTAAGCAACGGTTGCGGCTGGTAGATCCTACCCTTTTCTTCCCTAGCCCCACCCCACCCCCAAAGGTTGAAGTGGGTTGGTAAGTCTCAGGAAGTGGAGTAGCGGTTGTGTCTCCCTATAATGAAGGTAAGCAACGGTTGTGGGTGCTAGATCCTATAACCTTTTCTTTTAGTAGGTTTGACGCCAGTTTCCTGTTAAAGTTCGAAGATGTTTCAGGGGCAAGGCGGCGGAATAATTAACTAATCACAGACTCGTTGCCGGGTAAAGCTGTGCCTATGGGCTGCTACTGTATGAAGCAGTTGCGCAGAGTATGCATCATATATAAGACGATATTGTAAGATACTCTTTTTGTTTGACACGATTTTCCTGGCACGACACGGTTATCATGGCATGATAGGCTTACCATTCCCATCAACTGCTGCGACGGCGACGAATGACACGTTTGTTTATGGCATGATCAGTTCCTGATCACAAAACCAGGGATCATCTAATTACTGGTATGATAAGGTATGGTATAACAAGGTTTCATTTTTGCCAAAATCCTACGCTTTTAAGAGGCGTAATTTGCCGGGTAAAAGGCGTACTTTGCCGGGAAAAAGGCGTAATTTGCCGTAATTGGGAAACCACACATTTTCCTATTTCGAAATTCGAGGCTTTTCAGGTATGATACGGGTGACAAACCATGGGCGCACACAACGCACATTGTCAAATTGAGCGATCCGGTTCTAATTTTTATGACACTGGGACCATGGCTCCCACTTCACCTGTCTTTGGCTTCATTGGTTTTCTTGTCTTAAGCAGCTTTGCCCTCTTTCATACCATTCTAGCAACATGCTCATCCCACACTGGCATGTCATGCAGGCTCTTCAGTCGCTGATTTGGTGCTAGTAGCAGGCACCAACAGTATCCAACAGTTGTAGGATTGGAATCACAACTTGGAATAGAACTACTTGGATATGATTCCGGTATGATCTTCCAAGGGCACTTTTCTTGCTCAAGAAAACTGCCAGGGATTTTTTTAATTTTAAGGGGCTGAAATTTTGCACTCTTTGCTAAGAGGCCAATTTTTTAGCACAGGTGGATGTTGCAGGTACATAATATCACAGTATTTAGAGACATGGCGTGAGCCAGGGCCTACTGAGGCGGGGGTAACAATCGCGGAGCAATCGCGAACCAATCGCGGATTTCATCGACATTTTTCGAAAATTGAATTGATCTGGGTTGTTAGATTTTGAACTTGTTGTTCTGATTCTTCTTTGCTATTGGCTATCACTATTGAACACAGTGTCTAGGCAGACCCGAATACAGTATAAGGCTGAAATGTAACATAATTATCATGCCATTAAAATGTAATGTTGATTTCTCTTCTTACAATAGGCGATTCTTAACAACAAGTGTTTGTCTCAATCGCAAACCAATCGCCGATCAATCACGACGCAGGGTAATTTACGATATCGCGGATGCCTTTTAATACACATGCCCGGCTTCATAACTCTTAGACTTGAAATAGAGAATTTGCGATCGGCTCCCAGATCTCCCAGATGATTAAAAAAAAAAACTCTTTAATGGCTTGACCCATAACCGCCATAACCATCTGGGACGGCACCAACGATCCCCAGCGAAATAACGCTCGCGCCACTTTGGAAGTGCTGAAGGTCGTCGGGACAGTGGAGCCTTGCCACCCGCGGAGCCACAGAACCTGAAAATCCCGGGGACATCCTGGGCGATTCATGGTGATTTACTGGAAAAACAAATGGGATTTAACTATCATTAGGATGAAACAATGGATACTCATACTATCATGTAATAAAATCCCATTGACGATGGGTTCTTTGAACCATAAACAATGGGATTTGTTGTCATCCCCCCGGTTTTTCAACGAGCATCGGCCTTGTTTTTTGCTGAGAATTGAATTCTATGGGTGGATACTCTCTGGTAAACTAACATATGGAAAATCACCCTTTTATAGCTGGGTAAATCAACTATTTCTATGGCCATTTTCAATAGCTATGTTAGTTTACCAAAGGGTACTAGGTCACCGACCTTGTATCCGTAGCCATCTTCCTCCTTCCAATGCAACCTCAGGGTGGCGCCTACTTCCTGAACCAGTGGTCAGTTGTATGACAGGCAAACCTATGCACCAGGCCAACCGAGACGCTCTGCGATTTGGCTCGTCTTATTTCTGCTGGGAAACTACGAAGCACAAAGCAGTTGCTGGCACTACGAGGAACAGATAGATACACTCAGCATTTGCTGGTCATACCCCAATTATCGCAGCTTCTCCCCCATTTCACCATTTCACCATGGTTCCATCCTCACTGTAGTGCGTTAAAAACTGCCACATGGGACGAACGCCCACATGCGCGTCAAACTTGGGTACTCCTACAAAAACAAAATTGGATGGTTAAATACTAAAAGTATCTAAAAGTCATCAGTTTATCTGCAGACCGCTGCACCTTAAGTTTTGACCCATACTTGGAGGATGGTCCCACTTTGTAGTTCGTAGCTAGTTGGTAACCCACGTTTTTCTTAGTCCAAATTCCTGCTCGGCTATCCCATGTACTAAGTATAATCATATGCAACCCCATCCCCCCTTTGTTGCAGCCCGAAGCACTCCACCGCCCCACGGCCATCGCCCAACGTGCCATGCGCGAAGAGCCGGTGCCACTGGGTGTAAAGATCTCCACCAGGAGCAGAGGTGCCTGAGCCACCAGCGACAACGGAGCGCTGAAACTGGAAGCTATTTCCGATATTTCCTATGGGAAATGGTGATTTAAGTACTGTATTTGGTTGGTGGTATACCTACCCCTCTGAAAAATATTAATCGGTTGGGATTATTATTCCCAATATATGCAAAACTAAACAATGTTCCAAACCACCAACCAGGTATTTACAATGATGATTCAATGGGATATCACCATCTGCATCCATCTGTCACAGTTTGCGAACATGTTCAAATCACCACGTCAAAGAGCCAGGCAAATCATCATGTGTATCATCGAACTAAATGGGCCATGTTCTACAGCTATGCTAAATAACCAGAGTGTATCTATACTAATCTATGGGTATGGGTCCCCTTTACATCAAAATAGCTGATGTTAATGGATGTTCATCACCCCTAAATTACTAAACATGGTATGTTTCAAAAGACTATGACTGATGCCCATATCTATATTATTCTATATTCAGCCTGCTTTCACATTGATATTTCAGAAAAACTCATAACTATGATTAACTATGTAATTGTAGTTATTCATCGCGGTTATTGCGTTTATGTCATACTTTCCAGCCAGACATGACCAGCCATGATCAGCGTTTAGTGTACAGCAGAGCCGCGGAAAGTGCTGCTATCCCAAGCTTCCTGTCAGGGCCGCCATTGGATGCTTGTGAAAACCCCTCAGCCTTCCCCTTAATATGAAATACACACCCTCAAACATCCTGGTTTCGCATTGGATCCATTTATTTTGGGGGATCACATGAGATGTATTTGATCGGGACCTTCGACCTGCCTGGACCTGCCTGGACCTGCCTGGACCACCAGGTCGGGTGCATCGGCCAGCGCGGCCAGCGCAGCATGTTTCGAGACTTTGCTTGGCGCAGCTGGCAGCACTGTTTTTGAAGGCACGATTGGAGGTGCAGAACGTGGCTGTGTGGTGTATGCTCAAAAAGTTTTGAAAATGTAAAAAGAAATGGTGTACCCTGCGGTAAACTAACATAGCTATGGAAAATCACCATTTTTAATTTTAATGGGTAAATCAACTGGAAATGGACTACGTATTTTCAATAGCTACAGTAAATCACCAGAGGGTAATCGTAATCACTTTGCACTTTCAGCATGATATACATGTGATTTTAAGGATGCTGCATACTTGTTGGTTCATATCCATAAAATATCCAACATAAATAAATGATTCAATATCATGATATAGTTATATAAATAGTTCATTTAAATAAAGGTTTCAGTCTGATATCATAATTCAAAATATCCATGAAATCCCTATGATATCCGAATTCATCCACTGTTGAAGCCCACAAGGTTCCTTGCCACACCTTCAGCGGCTCGTTGCCATTCGCTGCGAAACTCCTCGTTGCCAATGGGCCGCTGCCCAGCGCTCTCCACGTTCATGGCACGGCGCGTCATGGCGCGGCGCGCGAGGCTGGTGCAGTTGGGGTAGTTTTTGCGGGAAAAATCATGGTGATCACCTCCACAAACTGGAATATAACCCCCGCAATTATGGTTATCCAATTGTAACGGGAATTGCAGCCCCCAAGTAATGTGGTTTAGTGATGCTTGGTGTGGTGTTAGATGGGTTTACTGAGGTTTGGCGTGAACTGACATCTTCTCAAATTGTAGGATTTGGGTTGACTTGGGAAAAAACTCATCAGTTGAGGGGCGTAAAATGTTGAGAAAGTGCTTCTGTACCGAAAATTCATCAGCTTGATTTGTGGGGTCCATCACTTTCTTACAAGATTCCACCATTCATCTTAATTTCCGTACCTCCAAGCCTGAATTGCTTCACGTCCGGAAGATATCATATGCTGCAGGGCAACATCAGAACATTGACAAATGGTCGCCGCGGGTCAATCATTGCAACTCTTTGATCCAGTTATGGTCTCAAAACAAAAATATAAAACATCATATTCCCAAAAAAATGTCAAAAAATGTATAGAATTTCCCCAGTCATTTTGGGTTTTCTGAAAAAAAATCCGCCTGTCACCGACGAAAATCTGAGCCGCTGCACTGATGGAATCTCCCTCCGGCGCTTGGAAGATCACCTTGGACCTGAAAAAAAATGCGGATTTCCCATGGCGTTTCCCAAAAAAAGCTGGGACACCCACAGGAAAATAGAAATGCTTGGTGAAACGTGCCTGGAAATTGTGAAAAAAAACATTTTAAGTAGGAGCTATCGGCTTTGGGCTTCTCAAAACGCTCCGGAGTTCTCAAATTCATGCCTCGTTGGTGAGGTCCAGTGAAGGTTTCGATGACAACCATATCCACTACCACTGGAGTCACCTCCCGTTGTCCCGTTGTCCCGTTGTCCCGTTGTCCCCAAAACATCATCCTGAAACGGTGCCGTTGCTTAATGGGGGGCATCTCACCCTCTGGCAATGTAGCAAACTGGAAAAGCACCATTTTCAATACGTAAATCAACCTAAATAAAATCATATTTATAAATGGAGAATTGTCTATAGCTATGTTAAATTGTTGGTATATAGGTAAGTTTCGAGGGAAAATGATGATGAAACCATGGATTTCGCAGGGTTCATCATCGGGTTCATCTCATGATTTTCAGAGAAATCCTCCCTGAGCGCGCCCACTGACTGGGACAAATGCGGCCGTGTAGGCGCACCTGGCGGCTCAGCCAGGCCGCCAGAAATTTATCACCCATGTCGAGTGCAGAGCGTAGGATGATGATGGACAATGATGATCATAGACCATCCTGAATTTATGGTGTATCAAGACAAAATTGGGACAATAGGGATTCTTTAAAGATAATCTCATCATGCTTGGCGGAATCATTGACTTTACTTGGGTTTGTCTGAAAATAGGGTGCCCCTAACTCCACAGGTGAATCATCATTTTCTCAACATGTTCTCTATGAAAATGGCTATGTGGGAGGTATACCCCCTTTTCAGACACACCCACTTCATGCTCATGATTCTGTTGAAGCAGCGTTGTGGTTCTATGTGGTTCCAAACCCCAAGTTCTCAACCGCACCAGCTCCAACCCTTTCTGGGCGGCATTCCACCTCCTTGTCTTTGCCTCTTACCCTCTGGTAAACGTTTACATAGCAAACTGGAAAATCAGCATTGACAATAGGCAAATCAGCTATTTCTATGGGCCATGGCTTCCATAGTTCTGTTAGTCCCATCCCAGAAACCGGTTTGTGCTGAAAATCATCCCGTTTTACCACTGGGGAGATCCTTTTTAATGCCCTCTGGTGTCATCAAACGTGGCTGGAAAATCCCCTATCAATGGGAGTTTCTAGCTGGAAAAGCATCTATACATGAGTGATTTTTGTCCAGCAAGCCACGCTTGATTTCCAGAGGCTGTTAACCAATATTCCATTGATATATTCCATAAATATACCCGTTGTCTATCCAGGATATCACAATTTGCAGAGGGTAAAACTCATTAGAATATATATATATGTATGTATACTGGGTCTTTGTACATATATATATAATATATATATATATAATTTGTATATATATATATCCCAATAATCCCACTGTAAGCTTAAGATCCCCTTGGTTTCTGCCGAAACTGGCCATCTTTTTGCAGGAGTTCCATGGCCATCTTCCGCTGGTGCGTAGTGACATACTCCTGCGAAGACTCCATGGAATGTTGTTGCTATTTCCAGCATCAAAAGTGGTAAAAGTATGGTTTTCCACCATCAAAAGTGGTAAAAATGACCTAGATATTCAATT